CAGCACCCCCAGCCCCATCTGCAGCTCTCCCTACCCCCACATCCAGCCCTGAAGAACGGTAATACCTGAAACGTTGACTTCTCCTTTCCTCCAGATGCTGTCTGGCTTGCTGTGTTCTTGCAGCCTCCTGTCTGTCATGTTAATTTCTAATCCTGAATGATAAAGAGAATTACATTGTGGAAACTAGAAATTGTACATACAATAATGTGACCCAGTGCATTCATGAACATTTCTCTAACCCCCACCAAAAAAACTATACTAATTAAATTTATTGTGGACCCACATTTTGCCTTTGGAAGTTAATAGTTTGTTTTACGGTGATTTTGGTGATCGTTTGGATACTGTATTAATGCTGTGCAATGCCAACCAGTGTTGATGTTAGAAATTGTGAAACTAGTATATTTTAACATAGCTCCCTGCACTCCTCGAACACCATCAGAGATGAGTACAATAACAGCATTTAAAAGACATTTGGACAGTTACATGGATAGGAAAGGTTTAGAAGGATATGGGCCAAATGTTGACAAATGGGACTAGTTCAGTTTAGGAAACCTGGTTGGCATGGGCAAGTTGGGCTGAAGGGTCAGTTTCTGTGCTGTATAACTATGACTCTACCATTGCTTAAATTCCAGCTTTTGAATGCTCCTGATATGTGAATTTTACAAATATTGCCTGGTGACCCTCATGACGACTTTGTGGTAAATATCGCTTTTTGCTGAGCTGTGGATTCATGTGAAGGGGAGTAATTGGTCAGAATTATTCAGTTGCTTTATTTTTCTAGTTTTGCCCATTTTGTCCTTTTCCTGAGACAGCTTCCTCATGATAGCAAACAGAAAGAAGAAACCCTTTAGCATCTTAATTCAGTTCCCATTCTTAAAAAGTGAACTTAGGCCATCAGCTGCTGATTTTCTGTGGGGCAACATCAAAGTTGAGCATAATTTATTCATTCCCCAGTGACCACATCCCTGTTCTATAAGCAAGGATCACTGGCTTAGGGGGCTGTTGTGGAGCAGTGTTGGTGTTCCTGCTTCTGAGCCAGGAGGGCCTGGGTTCAAGTCTTACATAATAATAAGAACATAATAACAGCTAGGAGCAGGAGTAGGCCATCCGGCCCTTCGAGCCTGCTGCGCCATTCAATAAGATCATGGCTGATCTTTTCGTGGACTCAGATCCACTTACCCACGTTCTCACCGTGTCCCTTAATTCCTTTATTGTTCAAAAAAAATCTACCTTTTAAAAACGTTTACTGAAGTAGCGTCAACTACTCCAGTGGGCAAAGAATTCCATAGATTAACAACCCTCTGGGTTGTTACCTACTCCAGAGGTGTGTCATAACATGTCTGAACAGACTGATTGAAACAAAAAGACACTGGTTTAGTGATCATTCTTGAAGACATTGGTTGATTTAGTTCAGGGACACAAATGCTATTTGTAAGTCAAGGTCAGGGTTGAAATGACAGTATGCTATGCAGTTAATTTTTAGAAACCATTTTTAATCATGTTAAGTATAGCTTATGGTCAAGATCGCCTTTATTAATTTTCTGTTTTTAAGTCGTTTCACTGGAACAGATGTATCCTAATTAGAAGCTGCAGGTTATTGTCTCTTTGATATGTGCTGTGACTTCTAATCTATAACTTTGACACAATATGTACATTATATTGAAATTAATTGTGTTACAGTTTGAAAGCGATCACATTATACTGCAAATTGAGTTTAGAATAACCCTTATTTTAAGATTTTAATTTTCTACAACTGCTTTCATCTATATATCATGTTTTAACATGGAAAATCCTCCAGTTAACAGAAAAATGTACTGCTTTGCAAGTGGTACAATGGTTTAACTAAGTTGTTTATTATATTACAGCAGCAAAATATTGTAATGCTGTCTCTGTGTTACATGTTGATGTATTTAAATGCTGGCAAAGCATCATCTTTGCCAACTTTACTTTTTGAAGGGAAGTGAGGGTGATTGCCTTTGATGTCAAGGCAGCATTCGACTGAGTATGGCAAAAACAAGCCCGAGCAAAACTGGAGCATATAGGAATCGAGGAAAAATATCTGTTGCAAGCCATTTTCAATGATCTGTGCATATGTATATGCATACCCAGGTCCCTCTGTTCCTTTTAGCGTTGTACCCCTATTGTATTGTCTTTTCTGACCAAAGTGCATAACCTTGCACATTGAACCTCATCTGCCAACTATCTACCCAGTCCACCAAATGTCAATGTCCTCTCAGTTTACAGTTCTTCCGAATTCAGTGTCATATGCAAACTTTGAAATTGTCCCCTGCTCACAAAATATATATCAGGAAAAGCAAGGGATCCTGTACCTCCCCCCAGGAAACTCCAATTGGAACATTCCTACAGCCTGAAAAATATTCGTTGACCATTATCAATTATTCTCTTTCTTTTCTACTACTCGTCCAACCTTGTATCCATGTTGCCACTGTTCCTTTTATACCATGACCTATAACTTCTCTTGAGAAGACGTGTGATCAACGTCAGACATGAGATCCATGTATACCATGTCAATAGCGTTACCCTCGTCCGGCCCTTTGTTACCTCTGCAAATGTTTGACTCCATCGATTTCCGAGTTACATATATTACAGAATGGTTGTCCTCTTATCCCCGTGGCTTGTGTCTGTTCTCCATTTTCCTGACATGTCTACATGGATACTTGCTATTCCAGAAGGCACCTTGGAATAAAACTGAGCATGAGAACCACATGATCCATTCAAATGCTGTCAATAGGCTCACTTATACTGATACTTATATGCTCATGGAAAAGCTTTAATGTGCTTCTTGTGAAGTTTTCAATTCTTCAATTAAAAATGTCTAACACCATTGCTTCACTTTTGAAAATGATTTCTTCAAATCAAATCCACATTTGGAAAGATACAATCAATATTCAATCATTCTTAATATTGCTATTTGCAGTAAATGGACAAACCAGAAATTTCTCAATTCCTCCATTACAAGTTTGTGAAATTACACTGCCAACCGAGCAGATATCACTAAACCTTTGACTAATCCTACATATCACTGCCAGCTGGCTGACCGTGCAGGCCATTTCAAAGGCTCCATATTATAGGTACTGTTGTGATTAAAAACAAACTCTTCTCATTGCCTTTTTTGTAATTTGTGGAAGCATATGGACTGAAAGGTTGGTTGTGCAGTTGCACTTCTCTCCAGTCTATGCCTCCTTGCTGTAATGTTACTAGGGTATCCTATGTTTAATGAATGAGGAAACTCATACAAGTAACAATGGTCAATTATGATCCACAGGAATGCTTCTACAAAGTACACATGCCAAGCATACATAAAATGCATACCCTCCACGTACTAGGGAAAGTAAGCGTAAATGTTGATACTAACATTTTCAGCATCTAAATAGATAAATTATGTGTCACAGGGGCTTACAGCTACTTTTTCATGGTGCACATGTTTTCTCTTAATATGTCACACTGATTAACTAGCCATCACCCTGTGAAGAACAAACTGAAACATGCAAAGGATTTTGGGGATCTCTCTCCTTACCCACCACTGCGCCCCCCCCACCCCACTCCC